GCGGTGACGCCCGCTGTGCCGGTGCCCGTGCCCAGGTAGGGGTGGCGGAGGCCGAGCCGGTGGAGGAGGAGGAGGAGGCCAGCTGGATCGGGGTGGTGCCGCTGGGAGAGGAGCAGGCGGAAGCGCCGCGGAGCAGCTCGGAGGAGTCCTTCACCGCCGCCGTGGTCAGCAAGGTGGGCGCGCCCGGGCGGGGAGCGGGCCGGGCTGTCCCGGGTCTGGCACTGGCAGCCCCGTGCTGCGCAGGGGCGTTGGGGTACATCCCCCACACCTGAGGCGGTTCCGGGGGGGCGGAAGAAAAGCTGCTGTTCTGCCTGAGGGCGGTTTCAGGGAGGCCAGAAGGGGCCTGGGGTCCAGGACCCCTTCAGCCAGGCATACGTTGGCTCTGTGACCCCGAGAGCAAAGGGGACTGGAGACATCTTCCTGTGCGGGAAGAAGAACCGTTCGGAGGCCTGCCCGGCTGCTGACCTGTCCCCTGTCATCGTCTTTGTCCCCGTATGTGTGTTGTCTGTCAGGCTGAACTCTCCGGTTTCTTCCCCTAACAGATGAAGCGAGCCCTGGTGCTAGGAGCATCGGCCCTGCTCATTCTGGCGCTGAATCAGAATGCTATCCGAGAGGTAGATGCTTTTTACCAGCTTCCCTTCATCTTGTTGCAGAGGCTCAGAAGAAGCTGGTTCCACTGCCTTGCTAATGTGTCTGCTCTGCTCCTTGTGCAGCTGGATGTGTCCCTGGTCCTCGCCAAGCCTGTGATCGTGATCCAGTCCTCAGACAATGTCACCAAGCTCCTTGGGGCTTTGTTACGGTAAGCAGGTACTTACTGAAAGGGGAGTGACAGCTAGAGAGTGCAAACATCTTGCAGGCCTGGAAGTGTGTGTGCGTGTCCTGCTCTTGGCCCTACAATCCTCTGCCTATCTGTGGAGATGCTGTCTGGAAGTGGCAAAAGTCTGGTTTTATTCATAGTTGAAGGCCAGGGTATTCCTTGGTAATTTTGGATGACTCCCTGTATAATACAGACCATTACATATTACTTCTTCCTCTCTTGAGCCCAAGATTGTTTGTCTGTCTAAAGCAACTATTCCAAAAAGGCATCCAGTCTTGATTACTCCAAGAGATGGAAAATCCACCCTTCTTGAAGTCATTGCAGTCTCCTGGAGTTTCCTTTTGTTTCCCTGTTAGCACCCTTCTCCATTACTAATAGACTGGAAAGTACTTTGTCACCTTCATATAAAACCGGCACATTGTCCTCTCCTTTTTCTAACACAGAAAAGGAGTATTCATTAAATTCTTCAGTCTTTCCTGCATCATGGTTGATAATAAGGCCCCAGAACTCTGGGGTTGGGAAGATCCAGTGCCAGATCAGTCACGATGCTGAAGGCTACTTGAGTAGAGCTGTTAAAAACTTCTCTATTTTCTTCCAGGAGACTGACTGTGAATGGCTGGTTTTGTTAACATGTCCCACTGTAAAGCCCTCTGCTGTTTGAGTGATGCTGGATCTGAGTGGAGCACCATGGGCACCCACTCAACCCAATATTGGCCCTTTTGTCTGCTTCTTTGGGGCTGTCACCCAAGGGTGCGATACTTGGTGTTTTCTAAACACAAGGGTAGCCCCTGGGCACCTCCGTGAAGGGGGTATCAAGCATTGTCTTAATTTTACAGATGGGGAAACTTGAGGCACAGTGGCAGTGGCTTCTCTGAGATCCCCCAGGGAGTTGGTAGATGCTTGGGTTCTAGCTCAGCTGCCTGTCTCCCTTATGCAAAGCACTCTCCATTCTCTGACCATCTGCATTCTCCCCTGCACAACCTTCTGGGCACTTGGCCTACTGTTCTACCATGCGTAGCTTGTGTTCCATTGTTCCCTGTACAGTCCCATTGCTCATGAATATCACGTGCGTATGGGGTATTCCCTGAGCACCAACGCCATAGAATGAATGGGAGGATCTTGGAGTAGGTTGAGATTCCTGGGAATGTTGTGCTCCCTTAGTGTGCTTTAGTTGGCACGCCTCTTCTGCCTGTGCCCAGGGAATCTGTGAGACTAATGCTATTCTTGACTTTTGCTAGCAGAGGGCTCCGGGCAACAGCAAAGATCACATACCAGACAGCGCTGCTGGAGAACCTGGTACGTAATCTCAGCAGGGAACAGACTACACCCCAGCCTGGGCATTGGGTGCAAGGTCAGACTCACTTGTTGCTAAGGCATCTCCTCCCTTACCAGCTTCATGAACCTCATAGCAGCAGCAGGTATATCTGTTGGTGCTCTGAGTGCAGAACCTATGCATGGAATGTGTAACTTGTAGAGTCTTTGTCTAACATCCCAACCAGCAGGGTTTTGATCACAGCCCTTGGGAGATGACTTCACGGCTGAATCAATCTCATTGCTAAGAACCCGCTGTTTTTTTTAGACACCTAACACAGATGGGGAAGCTGAGGCACAGTGTAGTTTAAGTGATTTGCCTGAGTCCCACAGGAAACTGAATCCAAACTCAGTTCAGTGCCCTTACACGCTAGGCCTTTTTCCACCTTTCTCAGTTTAGTTCCATTACCCTGCTTTCTTTGCTATGACTAACTATAGATTATCAGTTAGCCACTATAGATGGATTTGGCAACCTTCATCTTAACTCAGCTTCTTTTGCTGCTCTACTCTGGGCCTGCAGATGTGATAGGTGCCAGGGGAGATAATGCCAGAGCCATTTAGAGAAGAAGTACCCCCTCTTTGGTCTGTGGTGCAGTGTCCTTGTGCATGCAGGCCAAATTGCATTGCCCCTCTCTAAGTGTTGTCATGCCCTGAAACCTCCTCTTGCCCCAATGCTGTACATCACGGTCACTTGTGCAGGTGTCTTACCCTGCCCTGTTGCTGGCTCATGGATGGCATTGCACTTGTCTCCTCTGCAGGGAGTGACTCTCACATTGTGGTCAACCTGTGGCCTGTCCCGAGGTGGGCTGTATGGGGAGTGGCAAGGAGTGATCTGCATGGGAGAGAACAGCTCACGGGTTCAGGTGTGTCATAGCTGGGTGGCAGGGTACTGATATGCAGATCTTGTGAGGAGCTGGACATGTGAGCAAGGGTGCTCTTTTTTTTTTTTTTGACACTTTGTGTCTCAGGCTAAATCGGCTGTGAATTCTGTTGACTGAGCAGAACTCAATTGTTCAAGTCTGTGTGGTGCTACCACTGGCAAGTATTCTACCTCCCAAACTCTTCAGCCTGGGGCTTCAAATGCTCCCTAATCCATGAGTTATCCAACGTGCAACCTCAGAGGCCTTGGAGTTCAGATGCCCCTTAGTCTTGCTTGACCCTAGTCAAAGGCCAAAGGAGCAAACTAAAGGGAAAGCCCAAGAGTAATTCCCCATCACCATAAATTGTGTAGCGAGACAGCCTCCCAATGGGAGTTTCATAGACTCTCACGGGGCCTGCCTGCAGTGCAGTGGACAGGTCTCCACCCTCAAATACGTTGAATCGTTCAAGGCCAAGCAGGGGGCCGTCCCTGTCAGGTCAATAAAACCACCTGGACCAAAATCATCACCATGGTATCTCCTGTCTTCAGCAGTATTAAAGACTCCACATAACCTCCTTCCTGAACCAGCCCAGTACTTAGTTTTTTGTTCGGTCATACAGACAGGACCAAACAAAAGGACCAAGGTAGGACTCCACTGACCCAGACAGGACTCCACCCCACAGTCACAGAAAGTACAATGGGGAGAATGCCTGTTGCTCAGTGGTACCTTCTAGGGATGATTTAAGGAGTAGCATAGCTAAGCACCACAAGGGATCCTGTCACATCTGTCTGACAGCACGCTGAGAGATGCTTTGCCCAAGTGCTGCGGCCTTACTGCCACCTATGTGCTGTGTCTGTAGAAATACCTTCAACAGCTGTGGAACACCATCCTGCTCATTGCCCTCATCTTGTGTACTGGGGTGATTGTGCAGGCCCAGCGTCAGTCCCGGCAAGACCAGTCAGACCAGGACACTGAGGTGGGCACCTCCCTCTGCTTTTCCCCACTCCTTAGAAAGCTGGCAGGGAAAGGCAGCTGTGAATTGACTGTGCTGTTCCTCTGCAGCTGGACCTCAAGCAGCTCATTCTGCAGAGGCTGTCAGCACTGAAAACCCGGCGCTACCACCCTGGCAAACACCTCCGGAGTCGGGCCTGTGAGATTGACAGTTGTGCCGTCTGCTTGGACCAGTTCCACAAGAATCAGGTAGAGCTGGGAAGAGACAAGGAGTTCCTGAGGGTTACTGCCTTCCCAAATTTCTGGTAGGGCCAGGCTGCTAGAAGCCTGTTAACTGCTGACAATAAAACCACACTCGTGTCACAGTGATGGCCCCCAGCCCATAGTGAAAACTGTGCACAAGTCACAACTACATTCTTCCTCTGCTTGATAGCCTCCTAGGTCTGCCTGCTTGAAGTAGTCCATGGTTTCTGCCCTTAGGTTGCCACAAGTGTGCAAACACTTGTTTGATGGTCTTGTCACTGTAGGGCAAGGACATTTGGGATATTTTGCCTGCCTTCTGAGCAGGTAGCAGTGGTCAGGGCCTGGGGTGGGAAA